TGAAATATTTGCAAATGTTTGTTTGGTCTGGAGAAGTAGCTGAGTCTAGAGTCGTGAATAATGATTTAGGGCCAACTAAATATCATAAGTTTCTATAATTCAGAGGTTCTCTGCTATCTGTAATTTGCCTTCTCCATTCCCTGACAAGGTCTGGAGACATTTTGTTTGTCAGGACTGAGGAAAGAGGAAGGGGGCTTAGGGTTGCTCCACCTAAAAACTCTGTAGTGCATAGCAGCTCCTCACATTAAAGAGTTACCTGGTCCAAATGTCGCTCATGCTGAAATTGACAAACCCTGCTATAAACCAAGTGACTCCTCCGTTCTTTTTATTCTCCGGAGATTCTTTGTCATTGGGAATGTGTTTCCTGGGGGCAGTTGTAATACCCCTATGAACATTTTAAACTTGTTTTGAATATAACAAATTGATTTTACAGCAACCAGTAATTCCCTAGATGCCTGGAGATTAGCATTCTCTAGCTACGGCTCCTCTGTACAAGTCTGTGTGTACATATTTCTTGATAGTGAGACAGAATGAGATTGTAGACCTCCAAAGATCTTCCCAAAAGAATAACACAGGACCTTCACTTCTGCACTTTTCTTCATCTTAGCTGCTCAATGAAATAGGTACTCTACATCGGAATGCAAGATGTTTCTCCTTTTTCTTTAAACCTGAAGCTGCAGTGAGAGTTGATATATTGTTACTAGTACAGATCAATTTCTTCAGTGCTCTCAAAAGCAACAAGACCTGGAGTGATCCCATCATTCTTAGAAGTTGATGATCATGTTCCCCTCATCCAGAAATGAGCAGATTTACAGCATTTGTGTATGTTGGGGCCACTAAGAAGGTGTATGCCAGCGGACCAGAACTGAATAAACTTTGTTGATCTGTTATCAACTTGGTTTACATGGGAATTATTTTGAGGTGTTTCAGCAGACTTATTCTAGAGTGGGGAATTTCTGTGCCCCTTTCATCATAGGTGGTTGAGGAACTTGTATTTTTTCTTGTCATTTTTAAGTGCTTTTTATGTATCTAACATATAGAATCACAGATTTGAAAAAAGACTTGAGTGAGGTCACCAACCTTCTCACACAGCCAACTGTCCTGCCGCCTGCTGTTCATGCGGCAGTGTTTTATGACAACGCAGACGTGCTCTTTCATTTTCAGATTATCTAGGGCCGCTTTTGCATTAAAATGGAAGAACTGATAGCTGGACCAGAGACCATCTGTTCCACAAAACCTAATATACTTGTCCATCCTTTTATGGAAAAAGATTTTGGACCCTAACTTCATCCATCTTCCTCATTTTGCAGATGAGGAAACTGAATCCTAGAGAGACTAAGTGACTACAACACAGTCACACCACTGATGGAACTGCGGTTAAAGCATGATTAATACACGCTCGGCTGATTCGATTCTCCCTCTGAGTAGATCAGTTGTCTTTACGTCATGCAGATATAGCTGAAGCAAGGCTTCAGGCAAGTGATATCGCACTTTTATGCAGTTAGGTCTGTGTTCTGTGAAGGGCAGCCTCCCGTGCCTCAGTATTATATTCCTCAAAAGTTGAATTATTGATAGTTAGTCAAGGAAGACAGTTTGGTATTTGCTGAAATCTTGAATCTATTAAGAGTAATTGTCCTCATGCCCTGCTGTGGCAACAGCTGACAGTGATGGAATCTATAGAATTCATTTGCATAACATGAATATTCAGGGTTGGTGATGTAAGAATTATTATTAAACCACTGGGAAGGAACACATTCTCCTTAATATTTGATTGAACACTAAATCCTGCTTTAAAAGTAATTCAGTTTGAATATTTTAATAATGAGGAAAGAGAAGCTTGGGTAGAAAAACTTTTACATTTTCCTCAGATACATAAACAGGAAATTAAATTAACTTAAACTATATAATACTTCTAGGGGAACTATTTTGGAATTCGTAGCTATATTTGCTCTAAATCTGTCATACATATATTGGGTATAATGTAATTGAAGTTTGAGTAGAGATTGATTTAAATAATTTCTATTAAAAATAGAATATCTCAAGAAGCATCCTTAAGTATAGGCTCCTAAACATAAATACTTCCATAGCACCACTAGTGGTATTTGTTAGATTTTGAGCCTGTTTGCCAAGTATTATGTCTTGTACCTAGATGTCCTCCCGAAGCTTCATGTAGCCATGGTGGGGAGTTGCAAAGCTGGCTAGATTGGGGTACGTGAATGTGCATTAAGGGTGTGATACTGGAATTAAGGGTGTGGATAGTGGAAGCCACACTCGGGGTCTGGCTGGCACCAACCAATAAGCCTGCAGCCTGGATGGAATATAAAGAGAGAGAAGGAAGGCAGGCTTGCTGCTTTGTGGTCTCCTGTTTGCAATGAACTGTTTCTCCTCTGCCATGCCCCTCTGCCATGCTACCATTCTTCAGAGTCATCCAACCATGGACTGAACTCTCTTCAAGTTGTCAGCAGATATAAACCTTTCCTATTTCAACTTTGACTGTTGAGTATTTAGTCCTAACAATGAGAAAAGTAACTAAGACATCACAGTTACTAGTGGAGATCTTTGGACATCTGCATATGACACAATTTATATTTTTCAAGGGCCTTTGTACCTCTAAGAATTCTGGATACACAGCTTTGAAGTGCCATCATGTGTGAAGAACATTCAGCTCCTCACAGTAAAGATTTTATACATGTTCTCTATGGTGTTTTGTTTATGTATTTGTTTTTGTTATTCTGGTTTTTTTCTCTTGAAAAAAGAAAAACAAAATTTATATGTATATACAAGGATACCTGGGATAGGTATATTGCTGATGTCTGTGGTTTATTGAAAAGGACAGTCAGTGCTTAAAATTTTAGTTTTTCTTGACCAATTTTGAATCTGGTAATCAGAATGACTGATCTGAAAAAAACAATATGCAGTATAAGAACCACTGCTGGACTCCTACCATCTTGTATGGTGAAGCTCTGCATCATTTCCAATTTTTTTTTTATTACTTGTTACTCTATTTGATTGTTTGATCAATCTTACATTCTTACATCTGGTGGACTCAGCAACTTCACTGAAGATAAGGGTGTGTAATGTAGCAGCCATTGTTAATTCCTATCATTTTGTTTTGAGGTCATGTATCCTTTTTTGTTGTTTTTGTGTTGTTTTGATTTTGTCTTCATTGTTGTTTTGTTGGTCTTTTTAATCTTTAAAATGGAATTTAAAAAATGAAAATAGGAAAGAAAGGAAACTGATCTAATTCATTCATCCATTGAACATGAGCAAACCTCTCCTATATGTTGAATGATATATTAGGCTTTGGTCCTACAAAAGTGAAACAGACATACAGCACATGTCTTCTGAAACTCATGATCTAGAGGAGGTGATAGGCAAGCAGGCAGGGACTTTTGACAGAATGATGCATATTCTATAATAGAAATAAGCTCAGGATACTGTTTTGGACAGTTTCTCTTCCCTTTAATCTGTTTTTCAGCATTTGTTCTTCTGTCCCAACCAGCTGAAGTGTGGTTGCCCTTGGGTTCAGATGGGTTAGGTATCCTTATATTTTCCATTTCTGCTCCTCCTCCTGTCTTACATGTGCAGGTGTCCGCTTTTGGTTTAACCAACAGGGTGCTCGTCTCCTTGACTCTTCTTCCTGGACTGGCTATCTACTCTTCCTGGCTTGGGCTTTTCCTCCTCCTTCTCTTGCTCATCCACCTCGTCAAAGTTAATACACATACTACATGTTTCTGTCTGCTGTCAGTAACTATACTCAGAGATCACGTAGCGATTCTATTTTGGATGGGAATTCTTGAGGACTACACATCCTTTATTTTGTGGAAAGAAAAGATGAAAGATCCCATTTCAAGTATTGTCAGAGAAAAGAGAGGGACCCTTTTGATGTCTCAAGTTACATTATATCAATAAAGGGAAAACTCGCTGAGGCGATGGGAGTGAGAGACTGAAGCAGCCACGTAGGAATCCCAGCGTTCTTTGCTGGCTCAGTGGTCTCCCACCTCAGGCTGTTTGCCTCCTTTCTTTCTTGTAAGTGTTCCATCGCTTCGGGGTTCGTGGCAGCACGACGCCGGGAAGAACCTGGCTTTTGGAGTCACACAGTGCTAAAATCACGCGCTCAGTTTCTGCGGAAACATATGCAGCTCAAACTTTACTATACCGCTTGGTTTCAGATTTGCAGTCAGTATGTTCTCCTTTTTCCTCTTTCTTTTCCTTTCCTTCACTCAGAGTGGTCATAAGCAGAAGTCATTTGCACATGTCTGAGAAAAGAAGATTTGTACATGGGGAGAAAAGTGAGTTTAGAATTGACCTTCACAGTGGAAATTCAGAATCTGGAAGACCCACGTTATTTATTCATAATCGCTCATCAGGACGCATGGGGGGGGAGAGTGCTCTGAGCGCGTAAGTCACCGTGACAGCCAATCTTCAGTGAGGGCCTCCCAGTGAAGGGACACAGACCTCCCCCAAGTCGGGCAAAGCCTGGCAGCAGACGCATCGCAAGGGAGGTAACTGTTGGGAGCCATGGCAGCAGAGAGGGGAGATATTATAGATTCTGTCTGTGAGGTGGGATGGCAGTGTACATGGGTTTCCAGATGTCTGATCTTTTCCAAAGGGCCAGTACCCCAAGCTCTTGGTTTGTTTGTTCTGCTTTGACTCAGTGACTTACAATGATACAACATGTGTTTAAGTACAAGAGGGTTTAGAAAACCTTTAAAGAAATGGACAGTCATTGAAGTAAGCAAAGTTCCAAAGGAAATTCAATCTTATGCTAATTTTACTGACAGGACTCAGGGCAGACATGGCTAAGCATTCTGGCTGGAGCAGGGACCTTCTCGAAGGTGTTGTGTGGTCTCTGCTGACACTGGGGGGAGTGAACCAGAAATGTGATAACTGCTGAGGGCACAAATGTCTGAATCCACTCCTTCTTGGAGCAGAGCGCCGTGAGTGGAAATTGGAAGAAATAAATTAAACAAAGCATCTCCTTTTTCTCTGTCGCCTAGAGGAAGAGCTGAGGTGGGATAGGCACGGGGATGAAGGGCTGCTGCCCAGGACAATGCGGTGAATGAAGACTGTGCGGATAGACAGCATCCGCAGTGACTTTGGAGCAAAGCAGCTGCACTGGGAGTGTTGGGCAGTTGACTGACTGAGTTGTGAGGCCCAGAGGACACACTGCACAACCTCTTAGAACAGGAAGTCCGTAAACGGGCTAGGAAACGCGCTGCAGAATAGATGCTTAGTGATGTAGTCACGTGCCCAAGACGGAAGGCGGATAAACAGCGAGAGGAAAGAGGGAGGCAGCCACCATGGGGGTCGGAAGCAATTCTTGGATGATTTCTCCAAGGGTAAAGATGTGCCAATGGCCACTTGGTGATAACTGTTGTATTTTATCAGGGCAGCTTGGTGCTTTCCCTGCTGACTCATCCCAAAGCTGCTGCTTCAGCAAAACTATAGCTTCATTGGTCCAGGAGTTTCCTGAGTCTGCTTTGGGAGGCAGAGATACTTCCTGAGCTATCGGGAGACTTCACCGAGGCCAGGCGAGTGCCGGCGCTGAAGAATTTCCAAGATAGTTGCGGTGGTCACAGGGCAGAATTTAGATTGGATTCTTGTTCCGTCTAACCAAAGTTTGGAAATCACCTGCAGGTTTCATTTTCATTAATATAAATGATAATACACTCATTGCGAGGCTACCACAGGATTTGAAAAATGATCCGTCACAGCATTTTTCCCCTGTTGTTCAATATGGCCGACCTTATTAAGGCTGTATCAATGGAGTTGTTCTGCTCTATAGCATAATTACAATCATATTTCTGCTTCTGCCTTGTGTATACATATACAAAAACCAAAGTTATACTTTTGGTCAGATACAGTGACAAAACGCACAGGACCTAATGCAACTGATTGCTTTTGAAAGGATAGAATTCACTCTTTTGGTCCTGAGTTAGGATTGTGATTTGCTAAATCTAGTAAAGAAAAAGTAACTCATTAATCCGGAGTTGGAAAAGATGGGTGAGGCAGGTAAGGGTTGGCCTCCAGTTTCCATGCCTGCAGTGTGTGCCTCAGGGCAGAGCTCGAGCAGTTAGGGGATGCTTGAAAACCAGAAGACCCGGAGCAGCGTGTCCTTAAAGGTCAAACTCATACTGAGGAAGTGTAGTATTTCAAAACCCTTGGGGAGAAGAAAGTCTGTTTTCTCCTTGCCTAAGGCTCTGCTCCCGACCTGCTACTGGGTGCTCTGCACCTTCTCGTCAATCCCTTGCTCAAGCACACAGGAGCAGACTCGTGTAATGGGAGAAGTGACTCTTTAGAAGGGTTGGGTCCCATCTGAAGAGGGAAATCGTCTCCCGTGCCCTTCAGCACATTCCTGGGAGTTGGTGGTGGATGAAAGTCACACCTCTGATTGGTCCTTGGAGTTTCACAGGAGAAGAGCGTCACCCTACGTGGGTAAGTTTATTGGCACCAGTGATCTCTTATTTTTTACTTCTGGTATTAACATTCTAGGGCTGCCCTAACAAAATAGAGTGGCTTAAAAGTAGACATTTATTTTCTTATGATTCCAGAGGCTGGAAAGCCAAGAAAAGGTGGCTCTAGGTTTGGCTGTTCCTGAGGACTTTCTCTTAGGTATGTTGATGGCCACTTTCTTGTATGTCTTTAATATTCTTTTCTCAATAAGTGAGCACACTTTCTGTCTCTACTCTGTGTGTGTGTGTGTGTGTGTGTGTGTGTGGTGTTGGACACACAACTCAGGATCTTTGCACTGAGCTCATCCCAGGCCCTGTTTTATATTTTGAGACCAGGCTTAAACTTGGGATCCTGTTGCCTTAGCTTCCCAGAATGCTGAGATGACAGGAATGTGCCACGACTCCTGCTTCTGCCTCTTCTTGGAAGGACATTGGCTCCACCCTTGTGATCTCCTTCAACCTTCATGATCTCTTAAAGTCTCTGTTTCTAAGTAGCCCTGCAAGTGAGACCTTTAACACACGGACTTTAGAGGATACAGTTCAGTTCATACCACTTTTCATGCAGCTTCTGTTAGTGCGGAACACCAGTAGAAATGTAGCTTGAGCAAAAATAAACCTGGTTTTTTAAGTCGCTGATATTGTAGGGTTTCTTGTTAATACAGCACAGTCTAGTAATTCATATTAGTACTTGTGGCATTATTTTCTGAGTTGTGCAGCAACTGATTTTCCGGCTAAGAGACAGGACATCCATAGATACGGCATTCCTGTGCATATGCCTGTAATCAGTATTATAAATTCCCTCTAGAAAGAATAGTGACTCTCAGGTAAAAAGTACCAAGTGCAATTTCAACCATGTGTAGCAGCTATTTGTTGAGGACCTATAGTAGCGAGAAGCAAGCATTTCTTCCAACCCAAAGGCCAGGGGACAAGAGACGTGAAACAAAGAAACACACACATGTTTATGTTGTTACAATCCAGTTACATGCCTGTCTCAGATTTTATTTTATTTTCCAATTTTGGCTTCAAAGAGAACAGTTGTCTTCCCTCTCTGAATCTGGGAATTAGAGAGTGGTTACCTCACAGACACAGGCAAAGACTAAAAGCATTTTATCTTAGGTAGCACGAGTGGAACTGTCTCAGATCTTTGCAGTCCGATTTGGGAATCATCAGCGTATGATGATATATGATGCTGATTGAAACGGTTGAGCTCATCCGTGTTGGATGAGACCAGTGTGGTCGAGAAGAAAGCAGGGACGAGAGGAGGGGCCTGAGAAAGCCACCGCTTAGAAAGTAGATTGTCAAGTTAATTCAGAATGCCTGGAGAGGACCTCAGGGAGAAGCAGGCAGAATTCAAGAAAACAGTAGTTGAGAAGCCAAGTGAAAGAGCTTTGTAAAGAGTCGGAGGGACTGGGTAGTCTTTCTGGGAGTTAAGGACGTGAGAGCAAAATTGTGTGTGTGAGATTTAGCCACAAAGAGATCACTGGTGACTACAGTTAAAGTGGTGAAGGTAGAAAAATATGCAAAGGAGGTGAGAAGGCAGCCCTAGGATGTTCCTCCGATTGTCAAAAGCATAACTGTGGAGGCCAGAAGAAAAATAAATATTAAAGAAGAAACAGAGAAGGGAAAGTTATCAGTGAGTTTTCATACTTTAGGGTAAGAGAAACAAATATGACCTTTCTGGGAATGGGTAGGAGAGTACTAAGAACACAAGACAAAGGAGAGGGGGATGATTAGCAGAGCTGCTCCTGAGATGACAGGCGCAGAGGAGAAAGGGTCAGTCTCCTCAGGAGGAAGGACTTTTCTTCTCTCGGTAGTGTGGGGAAGGATGAGAAGACTGCCGAGGAGGAAAGCTTACAGATTTGCAGTACGACAGTGCAGGAATTTATGTCCGCTGGTAGTCAGAGTGCTGCTTCCAGTTATTTCTGGTTTTTCCTTCAGGATATTTTGGAATTGCACTTCTCTGCCCGCATGGAGCTGCCATTAGACTTGCTTTAGTCAATAAAATGCAAGCAAAGTCTTTTAAGACGAAACTGCTAGGGGCAATGGATGATTTTTCCCACGGTTTTCCTTCCCTAAAGTGATTGGGAGCAGTCCAAATGGTGATGTTTGGTTACCCAGGGTGCTGAGTAAGGCTAGTCCAGAGAAGATCCCCGTGGTTCCCAGCCGACATGTAGGCTGAAGAAAAAATAAACTTGATTTTTCTCCTGAACCACTGCTTGTTAGTGCAGCCTAATCCAGTGTATTCTAACTGTCACGGTGGCTCATGTGTTCTCTGAGAAGTGACAATGAAAATCCTTCTGAACTTTACAGTGAAATTATTATTTATTTGAAAGTCAGCATCAAATACCAATCATGCCAGCAATTGTACACAGTTGACTAAACACAGAAGAAATGACGGGTGTATTCAGTTTAATTTTTCTTCACATAGAGGTAGAAATGAATCCCCGTTCACACAAAATAGCTTTCTTGAAATATGCAGAATGCCTGTATTTTGTAGAGGTGCTTCTTTTAAAGGATAAGCATACCACTGACAAAGGGAACTCTTATTGCTAAAAATCTACTTTAGAATATTCCCTTTCTAAATGATCATAAAACAAAAGATAAAATTATATTAAATATACAGTGATGGAAAGACTTGTGGGCTCCTAGAGACATCAAGAAGAATTGCTTTTCTACCAAAACTTCAAGATAAAATTAGTAATTTAAGGACACAGTGAAAAAAGGCGGAAGACTAGATTTTGATTCATGATGAAAATATATGAAAGCCACTGGTCTTGTTAAGTCTTTTAAATAGACACCTGCTGTCCATTTGAAAACAATTTCAAGACATAGGAACTATTATGTGTGTGTGTGTGTACATGCGTGCGTGTGTGTGCATATTTAAAAGTCTAAATACCTATAAATAAACTTTATAATATGATTTCCTAGTAAGAGATGTTTTGGTTTCTATTCCATTTTAGCTTGAAAACATTTTAAGAAATTCTTAAGTGAAAGAGTTTTAAAGAGAAGAAAAAAAAAATCTCTTTCACCTTAATTTCAATTGTCGTCCAGATGATACTTGTATGTGTTAGTTGCTCAAAGGTTTTTTAAATAGAGAAAAATTAATAATGCATCCTCCCATACTCTTGTAAGTTCTTACTTCTGATGAAATCCTAGACAAAGATATTGCTACATCTTAGAGCCTCAGAGTTGTTTTGGGGTCAGTTTGGGTTTGTTCAGAGGCCTCTTCTTCAAGCTAAAATTCAGAATGATTTTCACACAAACTAAAAGTAGATAAACAAGTAAGTTTATGTGAAAATCAATGTTTTATTCTAATAGCTACAACGCTTATGGAAGATGATGATGTATCTCAGTGAAGAGTGAAAATAACAGGATGTCCTGCTTGGTTTTCAGTGAGGCTGCTGGGTAATTAGATTTTATTTGGTGAAGGTTCAAAGGCATTAAAAATAAATAAAACAAAACACAATAAATAAATCAGTAAGCAATAGAAAACAAGCTCCAACTGCCTGAAATAATTTTGAAAATTACCGGCTCTCATATCTGCAAGTCCACAGGTACTGTGGGCTTCAGAGTTGCCTTGACCTCTTTTTTTTTTCTTGTACCGAGAATTGAACTCAAGACCTTGAGCTTACCAGGCAGACGCTGTACTATTGAGCTATATCCCCCGCCTTGACCTGTCTTTCTTTACTCTACTTTCTTCCACGCATTTTGTGCATCCCGTGCTATAAACAAGGGAGGAGCTGCAGTTGTAGGCTTTATGTTTATCCAGGGAAACACCACAAGGAAGCGGAGGAAATACATATGCACCACAGTCATGTGACACTTTGAATCAATAAGATCTAGCAAAATGGAATGTTCTGTTTGGTTTAAACCTATTCCGAGCCGTCTTGGGACTGGATCAGACCTTTGTGGGAGGATACTTGACAGAAAGCAGGAAGGAATGAAGGAAGGTCAGATGCAGTCAGGCAACAACTTTACCCAGAACACTGATTTGTGTGATTAACAGCTTTTGTTAACTTTCTTTGCCCACTGAATATTTTGGTATAGAGAATTGAAAGTGTTATTCTAGCTGAATTTTGAAACAATCAAGTCAATGGTATAATTCAAATCCCTTAGAGACTCTAATATATAAAAATGTGCTAATTTCATCGCTAAGGAACACAATTCTAGTGCTTCCTTCACCTGAGATTAACTCTAGAAAGCTACTTCCTCACTGAAGGTTTTGAGTTTCCTTAGCCATAAAATGTGAGAATCTCCGAGATGTTTTCTAGTCTCAAGTTGTGCAACTTAGGTCTGCAGGCTAAATGACATCTCTAGGAAAGATGATGGTGAATTTTCAGGAATAAGTAGTAGAATTTCATGTATAAAAGATCAAGGATAAGAGGCAATGTATTTAAGAAAGGGGTTTCTTCTTGTGCTAAAACCTCACCGCCTGAGCAGCTATCTAGCTGGTGGCTTCTCCTGAACAGAGAGAGACCCATTCCATACAGGGTTACTGAGCAGTGGGCGCAAGGGTCAGCTGCAGAGACAAGGACTTTGGAAGGAAAAGCAGTGTGGCTGCAGGTCCCTGAATTTCATTGCATTTCTTCTCTCAGTGTAACTGAAATGATGAACCATTTGAAAGATGATTTCCATGGCAGAATGTGCCCAAAACCAAGCACGAATTTTATGAGGGTGGTTGGTGGCAGAACCTCCCTGAGACTGAGGGAGAAGAAAATTCTGATGAGTGACCACACGGTCTCTTTATTCTACAGTATTCATTTCACATGAGATCAGTAAACACTTTCTAAGTAACTGCTACAAATCCCACGGCCATTGTAGCTACTGATTTCACAGTTCACTGTGCATGTCACCAAGGGTTGCCCGTACCCAGAGATGTCATTTTCATGGTAACTAATGCATTTTTAAATAAGAATAAGATAAGAATAAGATAAGAAATGTGAATAAGAATAAGATAAGAATAAGATAAGAAATGTGAAGAGTAAAGATCTTTTAGCAAGGTATAACTCTAGTTAATGTATAAATGCTTGACGTTATGAAACAGAGTTTTTCAAAGGTGGACGTCGTAGTCCAGCAGTTCGGATTGGACCTTGGTGAATGACACGTGAAATGGTTTTAAAATGAATTGCCATTCTGCTGCTCACATTTGACCATACCAAGGTAGGCTTTAATGTAGGTGAGCAATTATGAAGGAACGAATCATGCAATCAGCCCTTATTTAGTTATGTATTGTCTAGGCCCTGCTACCTCCTTCTCTTATTTTCTATCATTTCACTCTGTATTTGCACTTCTATCATTAGAGAGAAAAGGTAAAATTAAGATAATTTTATTTTGTTTCTCGAGTCCTATCTGTGAGGACACAGTAATTACTCCCTTCGTTTATCAGGGGTGTATTGAACAATCCTCAAAACTAACCCCCCTTGCCCTTCCTCGATTAACTGAAGGACTTTCCTGCTAGGATGTCACGTGTTTAATGTGCCTTTTGTCTGGAAATTGCTCTCCTGGATGTCTCCAGGAGTTATTCACCATTCCTTTGTATCTTTTCTCGAAGCTCATCTTCTCGCAGAGGTCTTCCTGCTGTCCTTAGTAAAGTAGCAACCCTCACTCCCACTCCCATTTTGCATATCATCTGCCTGAGCTACTTATACTCTAGGTTTTTTGCAGTCTTAACAAGTCTACATTCATTCATTCATTTTAGCAATATATGATCCATCCATTCATTCTATATATACCACTAAAATAAAATCAGTAGGGCCTAACACAAGAGAATACCCCCATTTTTTCATGCTATTCGGTTCCCAGGTTCTAGAAGAATAGGACACAGTACTTAGTAAGAATGCAAGACTTATTTTTGGTACCAGGAATCGAACTCAGGACCTTATGCTTGTCAGGCAGACACTTGTGCCACTGAGCTATATCCCCAGCCCCCCAGCAATTATTTTTGGAATGACTGAATAAATTTGTAGGTGGAAGAGACAGATTGTATGCCCTCCTTTGGGGAACTAATTTTTGGAGACTTGATGATAAATGAAGCTGAAGATTATAATGGAAAAGTTATGTAAAACAAATTATAATGGAATTTAAGCAAGAGTATAATGGAAAAGTTATGTAGAGCAAATGAAATTTATAGTAAATTATAATGAGCCACATAGGGTGGCATACACCTGTAATCCCAGCACTCAGGTGGCTGAGGCAAGAGGATTGCTGTGAGTTCAAGCCCAGCCTACATAGTGATAACTTTTCTCAAACAAACAAACAAACAAACAATGGCAACCACCCCCTCCCACAGAAAACCCAACACTACTATGATAAATTATAATGGATAGTTCATCATACCATAGTCACCCCATCTACTGAGTGTCAGGGAAGTCTTGGGAGAGGTGGGCATCAAACTGTGGTTGGTGGGGGTAGGAAGATGACAGAGAGGGGTCAGAAGAGGAAGGAGCAGAGCGTACTGGAGTGAAACACATTGAGGTGATACTGTGAGCAGACGACATTCTCTATTATACTTTATGTGAAAAGTTGGTGTTTGAATAATCTTGAAAGCACATGTTCATGAGTGAAGTGTGCCCTGTTCCGTGAACTGCAGGGTCTGCACTCCTGATTATATTATACTCCACCGGCTTTATGCAGTAAGCCTCCTCGACCAGACCGCATTGGCCTCTGAGTCAGCAAACTTTGTCTTAGAGTGTTACATCCCAAGAAGTCCAAGTCTTCCTGGAAAGTTGGGAAGGGTGCATGCTGAACCTGAGGTCCTGGAAGTCCTACTATAAATCAGAATAGCTGATCTTAAACATTACTCTTATTTTACATTTTCAAAGTACGTGAGGTAGGGTCATATATTATTTATATGATTTCATATGATTCAGAGTAATTCTATTTTCTAATGAATGCATGTCTACTGTATTTTTAGGAAGTAAAAAAGTGCATCAAATTTCAAACCTACATACTATCCACAAAATGTGAGTTTTAAAAGGGCCATTTCTGACATGGGCTGTTACTTCCATAAAAGCACCATATCCTAGAAGTTAGTAGTGGCTATGCTGGACCAGCTTCCTGCGGTTTGAATCCAGGCTTCTGCAGATACTAGTTATATAATTGTGTAAGTTACTAAACCTATCCGTGTACTGTTTCTCTCCTTTGTAAAATCTAATAATAGATTTTACAATATAATACTCGATAATAGAGTCAGCTTAATAGGTTTATTATGAGGATTAAATAAGTTAACTTATGTAAAACACCTGGAGCCAAGGTTAATATTCAGTAATCATCCTACAATAAATGACAAAACTGTAGTTATTATAATTACTGCAGTATACCCAGGAAAGCTTTGGAAGACATGTACTAAAAATATTTGAGTAAGAGATGTATCAATTGTTTATGTTGCTCTCAGGAAGAAGGTAAATGTGGAACAACATCATTTTACTGAATAAAATTCTATGTTTTGCACTTATTGGCTGTGGCCTTTCTCTCTGAAAGTATTACATTTCACCCCACACTCATGGAGAATGAAACACAACTTGTTGAATTCTGCTGGAACAACTACCCAGGGGAAACTGTAATTTCAGTCCACATTCTTGAGGGTAAAATTTCTGTGGAAGGCCAGCAGTTTCCTGGTTTTGGAGTTGGAAATAAACCCTGAACTCTGATTTTGTTTGCATATTCATCTTCTATCTTTTTTCTCCATCATCCAGATCCACTGAAAATAGTGTTGAAAGCTTGGTGGAATGGTGTGAGAATATGAAAGACCTGGTTTATATTAAATCAGTCAGGAGGAGAAGGAATACTCTATTGAATACTCAGAGACTACCATTCATCCGTCTCTCTCCTGATCACAGGTAAACTTTTAGAGGCAAGCATCTAAGCATATTTTTAAAGCTATTTTAAAGCATTCAGGCAATGGCTAATTTAAGTTTAGAAAGTAACTCTTAGTGTGGTTTGTTTTATGTTCCCTATTTAAGAAGTATGTCCAGTGTAATATGCTGTGTGAGGTGATGCATATGACATTTCCTGGTTGGGGAGGCTGTTATAACATGTTAGCAAACACTGACTGTCTGTAGCGCCCTTTACCTGCATTATCTCAGAGAACCTTCACATGAAGGAGATGAAGAAGAGTTATTAACTTTGCAACAGATGAGGAAACTGAGATTGAAGAACACTGTGGAAAAGACACAACTAAGAGGTGGTGAATCAGGATTAGAACTTCGGTCTTTTGATTCCTAGAGTTGTGTTGCTGAGTCCATTTTGCTTATCATTAGAAATGGAAATATAGGTCAAGCAATGAACACTGTGACATAAATTGGTTAGGAATGGGAAAAAAGAACTACATTGTAATTAAAAAGAGCTATTAACTAGGTTAAGGTAAATCTAAATGTTCAGGCTCAAAGGACAGCTACAGTAGAGATTGCTACATAGGACTCCATGTTTTACACGATAATTTGGTTAGCCCTTTTTATAATTACTTGGGTTATTTCCAGGTTTCCTATCATAAACAAATCCTAAATGATCATCTTTTTCTCTAAAAGATGATGTAAATATTTCTCTAGAAATAGTGGATTTTTAGAAGCTGAATTACTGAGTGAAAGGCATGTGAATTTAAAATTTCCAAAAATATTGTAAAAATCTGTAACATTATCCTCTTAATTTCTATAGCAGTATGTAAGAGGTCCTGGTCCTATTCCACTCGATCTGGTTATTAGTACTTTTGAAAAATATCAGGACTACAGGTGATTGATACCTTTTTTTTTTTCCAATACCGGGAATCGAATTCACGACCTCATGCTTGCCAGGCAGGCACTGTGCTGCTGAGCTAAATCCCCAGCCCCTGATACCATTTTATTTTGAGATAGGGTCTTGCTCTGTAGTTCAAGATGGCCTTGAACTCACTACATAGTCCAGTCTGGCCTCAAACTCCTGGTGATCCTCCTGCCTCAGCCTTTCCAGTGCTGGGATTATGAGCATGCCTGCCCCTTAGCATACTATTGTTTAAAGTTGTGTCTGTTTTACTATTAATGATACTGTACATCTATTTTTATTGGTTTAATTTTTTTTTCATATTTCTTTTGGGCTTCTACTGTTTTCTGATGGATATACAAAGCATTTTATACATTTATATTCATTAGTAAAGAAAAATTTATCCAGACTCTTCTTGTTTTCCAGCCCATTTGTCATGGATATTTTACTAAGAAGTAAAATAAGAAAATTGACCAGCAGAGCTGAAAAGGCAGAAAAGTACAATATATAGATAATCTACATGTGATGGACCATGGTTCTGAATAAGCAAGCTGGTTGTGTCTCACACAAAGCTAGCTCACCATCTTGGCTAATATATTAAAATATAAGCTGTTAATCACACTGTATCATAATTTTTTTAATTCACTTGGATGAGAATGCTTGAGGTTAGGGGCAGTGTCTCCCTTTTCATATTAGTAATGCTTAGCAAAATACTCGTTTCATGGCTGTCTTTCAATAATGATTGCTGGATAAGTGGTGTAAAGAAATACCTGGGGAAATGAACAGCCTTTTGTTAAAAACATAGCAACTCATTCTTTTAATGGATTTTATGTATCAGTAGCTGATATATTATTACTCATATAGCCAGTAGGAAATTTTAGGCCTACAGTAGTTCTTAGGTAGATGTGTTTTTATTCATTTTTGGTCAGATTTAATGAAGATAACCATCCTCCATGATTTGTGTTATATATTTATAAATAATCTAAACACTTCTGGGGCTGGAGATTTATTTCAGTGGCCCAGCGCCTGCCTGGCAAGTGTGAGGTAGTGAGTTTGATTCCCAGTACCAGAAAAAAAACAAAAAAAAAGCAAAAAACAAAACAAAACACTTCTCACTACTTCTCACCAGGAAGTCACATCCATTCTTATAATTGTCAGTTCTAAATTGTTGCATTTTAAATGCAAACTTCCTTATGGAATTAGAGGCAACTTATTACTAGGTGGGTAGGGCTCTATTCCTGACTTGTTTTATCCTTGAGAAATGCTTGGCATAAGACAAGTAGTCATCCAAGAGGCTGAGGAATGTCGTAATGGCATTACCATTCTAGAGGAAGCGTCCATTTCCCTGAGACGGGGGG